CCAGTTGTATTGTAAACAGTGGCGTCGTATATATCTCTTATCAGTTTGAGCCCGATTGAGAAGCAGAGAATATTATTGAAGAGGATCGTGCAGAACCTGTGCAAGCACGGCTCTTAATTGTATGTTTTTTGTTTGTTGTCGTCTCATACATTTAGATACGCTGTTATTTGTAAATGCTACTGCTTATGTTAGCTTTTAATATACAGTTTTATCCTGATTAAAGCTTTAATACACCACGGCAACCGCATGTATAACGCTTCTCATAGCTATGTGAAAATAAGTGTATAAATGGAATGGTTCATTGTTTGAGCTGAGCTGGTGATCTGAATGAGAGAGATGCAGGGCGACGCGAGGAACATTGATTTTGAAACTTGTGAATCCATTAGAATTGTTAGAAGACAGAATCGCGATTCATATATAAATAGATGTTTTCGTGCACCCCTAGTTTTAACGGCATGGCAACAACTCGCCCTCTTCTCTATGGCCTCGCCCCCTTTGTTGCGTGTTCCCGGGGGCGGGGGTTTATCTGGGTTTGTGATGTCACAAACCCAGGAAGTAACTCGTTGTAGTCCCTACCAGCCGTTTTTGTAGGCATTAAACTGCCAGAATTTTAAAAGACGATATCTCCGATTGAACTTTAAGCGCCGCAACTTTGCAGATATTGTTTTTTGCTCAAACAGCAACACTACACACTAACGTTAAAAAAGTGAAATCGCAATCAACCACCCCTTTAAAAATGTCTTTTATATATTGTCTGAAGGCGGGACTGGTTTCAGGTTTTCATTCATGCATTGTGTCATGGACACGTGACATCCTGCTGCTACAAAGAGCTTTGTTTACAGTCCATGTGATCCAGCAAAAGGAGTTTCTCCATTCAGCATGCTTCTTGAGATGTGGGACAAAACACACACAAAAGTTTTCCACTTTGAAATGAATGATCATTTAACCATTATCACAAAAGTACCATTTCATACAATCCTCCTAATTTGATCAAAATCGACAATCACTTACTATCCCTAAAATCAGCCATCCTCAGTTTAATACGTCAATACTTCTAAGTATATGTACAACAACGCAACAATTCAAATACATACCTCATATATTTTTACAACTCGAGGGGTAAAAAACAACATTATCCCAAAAGTCCAGAGATTTGTATATCTTATTTTAAGATCATTTTAGTGTCTAATAACAAGTGCTATTTCGCGATCATTGAGATATTAGAATTTTATTGATATTTTGAATTTTAATTTAGGTTTTCCATTTTCATTTTAAAGCTATAGTGAATTTGTTTAAATGTTTATTCAATTTAATTTTTTATAATTTATTCACATTTTCCATTTTAATTTAGATTTGTCATTTTTACAAGTTTTTTTTATTATTGAATGTAGGATGTTTTCATTTTATACAGTATTTGTTTTAGAAATTTTTTGTGAAGTTTTTTACAAAATCTTTATACAATTTAATTTTTTATTTTTCTATTTGATAATTTTAGTAATTTTGTTTTGGTCATTTTTACAAGTTTTTATTTTTATTTTTTTTAAACATTTGTAGTTTTAGTTAATACATCAAGTTGAACTAAATGAAAATGAGCCTATTTGACAAGCTGAAATAAGTTTAAGGTATTTAATATTTTATTAATAAATTATTTCGGTTTATTTCAAGAAACACCAGAAGAGCATGCACTGCCTGTGCAAAATATGAGTTTGTGATCAGTAAGTTGTTTTTATGGTGATAATTCAAGAAATGGATCAGAAATCAGTTTGAAACTGAACTGTAGTCTCGATTCCAATGCTGTATTTCTCAATCAGTATTTGAATCTGTATGGATGTCAACACACGAGTGATTGACAAGAAAAAAAAAAACACATTTTGAGAGAAAATTGAAGCAAGTTTCACCAAAATTCAAATGAAATCCTCTGAACATATTAATCCAAAATTTCATTTTGCACTTCTCTCCCAGTATTCAAGAATCAGTGTTAGTATACTATGAGAACACGACCCAAAAATGTTTCCAGCGCTTCATCCTCGAAGCATTTTGGGATGTTTGACCTGCGATATTTCACGATGCTGTCTTACATCAGTCAGATAAAACTGTTCAGCCACTTCAGCCAAAACATTTGCTCATCTGGTAAATGATGGTAAATTAGATGCACTAAATCTATCAGTGTTTGATATCAGCTGAGCAGGTTTCAAGTCATTTTTAACGATTAGTGTTAAGGTATTAAGCTTGCAAACAAAGAGTCGAGCCATTTGCATAGCTTGGGAGTGAAGATCTCATACCTAGTTCCACATGGAGCAAAGCAAACATAAACCCGATCAGATTGATATGTGTTTGATTATAGCGCAGCCTAGTGTTAAAATCCAGCAAACCCGCAACAGAACGCAATCTCGAGTTTGCTCAAAGCCTGAACTGTCCTGGTTTACAATTAAAAGAGACGTTCTGTGTATATTATCCACAGGAGCGAAACTGACACATGAATTCATTTAATAAAATGAGATCAACCTTTGTGTACTTAATATGTCTTTATTATGCATTAACCATTTTCATATGCAATAAAGCACTCAAGATTATGCTGTGTTGTGAATATAAACACACTGACAACACCCTTTGACCATGATTTAATTCGCAACACAGCAGAGATTCTCATGCTTTATTGCTTCATTTAGCATCATAAAGTGAGTATTCATATATGAACAACAGAAGGCTGTTTATTACAAGCAAAACGGCATAATTTCTCGTCGAATACGGTCTGAAACTAATGCTATGCTCAAGTTTTCGTAACGTCTGCTTCAGTGCGGGGAAAGGGTGCGATGACTTCAGGGTGATTCCAGCTCTTTACTGACACTTCACTGAAAAGCTCTGGGGGAGAAAGTGAAATGGTGCTATAACAGGAACACCTCAATGTCCATTTGTCTAGAAGTTCCCATGTCTTTGTTTTGAACTCGTTTTGACAAAATTGGCAGTAAAAGCATCTCAGTCCATTTCTGTGTGGGAGATGACACACTGAAAGACAAAAAGCACACAGGACTACACAACAGAAACCCAGTATTAGCTGCAGTTACTGAGCTCATTAACACTGCTGGAGATGTTAAGGACATAAGAGGTTAGGATCTTACATCTTCAAATTAACTCTTTTTATCAGCAATTTTCATGAAGAGATTTTGCTCATTACATCTGTTTTCTAACAGCTACAAAACTAATATCTCAAAAAATGTTAAGATTTTTTTTTTTTTGTGTTCACAATCTTTCATCAAATTCTAGGTATGCCCACTTGAAACTAATTGTTATTAAAATACAATTTTAATAATTAAAAATTAATTACTGATGGAAAAGAACCCAAATTCGATTTCTTTCCTCATTGAATATCTATTGTACTCAGAACCGTGTCACATTACCAAAGTAAAATGGGTTACGATTTACAAATGTGACCCAAAATTTAAGTGTTAAGTCGCTGGGGTATATTTAGCAATAGCCAACAATACATTGTATGGGTCAAAATTATAAATTTTTCTTTTACGCCAAAAATCATTAGGATAAGTAAAGATTATGTTCCATGAAGATATTTAGTAAATTTCCTACTGTAAATATATCAAAACTTCATTTTTGATTAGTAATATGCATTGCTAAGAACTTCATTTGAACAACTTTAAAGGCGATTTTCTGAGTATTTAGATTTTTTTGCACCCTCAGATTCCAGATTTTCTAATAGTCGTATCTCAGTCAAATATTGTCCTCTCCTAACAAACCATACATCATTGGAAAGCTTATTTATTTATTTATAAATTGACCCTTATGACTGGTTTTGTGGTCCCGGGTCACAAATAACTTTTTGAGAAATTAAAGATTTTTGAAAATCTTTTACATTTTTATTAAAATGTATTATATATTAAAATGCATATACATAAAAAAAACATATGATAATATTAAAGATTAATCAATTATGTGACAATAATAATGTGTAGTATATAAAAGTTACACGTTTACACACACCAGAACATATTACTCACCAGAATATTCAGCCTTCTTTCTAATTGGCTGACAGAGCTGTCAGACAGACAGCTGATTGGCTGATTACGCCCGGCATGTGAGAACACAGATGCGGTTCGCTCAGAGTTCGGCTCGGAGGGCCACGAAGACGGATGAAGGGCTTCTGACAAGGCACCTGATGCCCAGGCCCGAGTGCTCTGGGGCCGCCCCGGTGCATTCTGGGACTGGCCCCGTGCATTCTGGGAAGGGCGGGCTGGGGAGGGGTAGCGGCGCAGGAGGCAATGGGATTTAAAAGTATAATTTACAGTATAATTTAAAGCACAGACAAACGATGCAGGACGGGTTGGTTTGTGCTGAAATTATTTGTTAAATTGCTGAAACCACTAACCCCATTCATGAACATTTTAGTGATGCTTACCTTAGCGAATACCACTAACAAACATAATTTCTGATCATATTTAATGTTTCAATAATAATAAAACGACAAAAGCACATAACAAAAAATGTAAATGAAACAATTTTAAATAAAAACGGCAAATACAAAAATAAAAACTAATTCAAACTATTAATAAAAACCTGTAGCTATATATAAATAATACTAAAATAACAAACAAACAAGCATTTCTAATGAAATTTCAAAACTAAATTACAGCGCCGTTCAAACTACATTAATTTTATAGGTCTATAACCCTACTGTATGACAACTATTGACTCATTTATGTCTATATTTTATTTCTCCAGGGGAACAATGGGAGAATCATCTGAGATTTATCGATACTTAAACTGACACTGAACGCTGTATGGTGTCTCTGGAGCGATGAAAGAGCAACATTTGAGCAGTTTTCCTCTAGTGTGGTGAGTGAATTCACAAGTCAGTGAGCCAGGGATGAAATGATATCACTTTAAATAAATAATGAGCATTAATATTCAGTCGCAGTCAGCAGTCTTGTGATGTAATTTAGCTGAACATCGAAAGCACCAGCGAAAATCACACAGACTTCAGGATGAACTCAAATGCATCTTAAAGCGACGATTTTAAACTGTAAAGCGAGGAAGCAGCGTGTTTTGGTCTTGACTCGACTCACCCGTCGTGTTCGTCCCGTGCTGCTCTGGTCTGCGCCGCCCCGTTTACGGTCCATATCAGCGTGAGAGGATGAGGAAGAGGAAGGAGGAGGAAGACCCAGACGCAGGCCTGCAGACCGATGGCTCACCGGAGAGCCGCTGCCGCTCTGAAATACACACAGATGCAACACTATAATCTCATACTCTCGTTTTTTTTTCACATTCAAAGGACTGTATAGTATGAAATTTCTTCATTCAAATTTTTTTTTACATTTTTAAATATTTAAAATATACAAATATTATTAAACATAATCTCAACTCTTAAAGTCAACTTTATTGTCATTGTGCAGATATAGTTACACGGGAACTGGTTCAGTGAAAATTTATAACAATAATAGTAATTACAGCAACATTTTTATTTTTGCTGGAAAATCAACCCAAAAATGGCTTTGGGAGAATTAATTAAATACTTTACAAATTACAAAAAAACTTTATAAGATTTAGTTATTTTCTTTTTATTTGCATCTTGACATTATCATTCACAAAAATCTGATTTTTCATAAATGAATGATACTGCCTCACATTATGTAACACTTGCATAAACATTACAGCATAACATTACATCTCTTTGTTAGAGCCATAAATAGCAAACAGGTTTATAATAATTTATAAATTTTGTTTATAATACATTTCTTGATATTAAGAATGATTATGTATATTAATGCATATTTTAAACCTTTATACTGTATCACACGACTTTAGCCAATTTCATACAAAATGCATACTGTATATGTAGATAGATAAACATTATTTTTTGAATTAGAAGGAAGGAAGGGGTTTGGTAATAGAAATTATTTTGACTGTTGAAATAGTTAAAAATCATATTTAATTTGAAGCTTGATCAAATGTCAATAGTTCCTCAGTCTGATTTTTGTTTTTGAACAAGAGAAATGAAAAGTAAACTATTAGACTGCAAGATTATGGTTCTATGGGTCAAATCCACAAATGCACAGTTCCTATGGAAATTGTGGAGAATGGTAAATGACTTAAACCAGTAAAATAAAAGTACAAAAAAAACTATACAATCAAAAAAAACAATCAAAAACAACAAAAAACTAATACATGGCAATCTAATGCATGTCATAAATAATTTTTAATTCTAGAAAATGCAATTCTATACAAAAATCCAATTAAACGCATTAAATCCAATCAGCAGTGCAATCCTTACAGAAAACAAGAGCATGCAAACACATGAATAATCTACTTCTCTACTGGATGGACCAATGAGAAGATGAATATTCACAAAACGCCACAGAACACTTTAATACTCACCCTGTTTGGAGCTCCATCTACAGAAATGAAGAGAGACACAGAAGGATTGACTCATTGAGATATGATGATCCTGTTATCTTGAGCATTCACAATATAATATCAAGAATATTCCAGATTAATTTCAGTCTAATGTCTATAGATCAAATCTTAGGCATGCTGTCGCTTAAATAAAAAAAAATATTTACAGTAATGTCTCCATAGACTTTTTAATGTACACATGTTGCTATTTGAGCTGTCTAGTTGTCTAAATAATCATTTTGAGGTAGGACTACTTTTTTTGGTGGAGGAAAATTCAAAAATGTAATTGCTGTGAATGGAGTTTGATCTGTGTCTCCATGTCTGAATACACATGCTTCCCTATGTATAGTACTTCCTTTTAAAGTATGCAAAAAGCAGTCATGCCTCAAGGGATAGTAGTAATGGTAATTTTGCATAAATTAATGGTCGTACAAGAAATGCTCCCATCATTTGAAATTACTATAGATTAGTGCTGTAAAAAAAAAAAACGATTAATCGCGATTAATCGCATCCAAAATAAAAGTTTTTGTTGATGTAATATGTGTGTATGCGATTAATGGTTTGACAGCACTACTATAGATTAAAACCACTAATAGATTCCCACTCACCTCTGGAGTCTAGGGGCTCAGGGTGAGTGAGGTCATCTTTAGGCACCAGGTGTGGGGGGAACGGAAAGGCCCCGGGAAGAGCCATGAGGCTCGCACCCACTCCCAGGGTCAGTCCTGAGGGGTGTGGCGTCAGAGGGAAGCCCGGGGCATGATGGGATAGATGCTGGAACTGCTGCTGCTACATAGGGGGAATATCGAGAGAGAAAAATGTCAAGTCAAAGCATATATACACACATATATATATATATATATAATATATTGTACTGGTATCGCTACAGGAACGCCCTTTCGCAATTTTGTATCAATCCGCTTGTTCTAGCCGGGTCTATGTTTTTTTTTGTTGTAATTATTCACTGAGCTAATCGTAGAGTGTGTTAGGTAATATAAGAAGAAACGTCTAGCTTCGCAGTCTCTCTCTCTCTCATTTGAATGCATGATTTGCAGCATTGTTTCTCTCTTATAACCTCATTATTTCTCACTAATAACCTAACTGAAGCAGCACATGCCCTTGATACGAATTCTAAAAGTGACGTATGTTTAACTGTCAACTTGAGCTTTGAATCCGTGGCGGAAGGAAGTAGTTCCGCACAAAAGAGGGTTTTATAAGGCACTCCATTGTTTCTTGTTTAATTACACACATGTTCCATCGAACTGTTGTATAAACGCAATATCACTCTCGTACTCTGCGGCCTCGTGCCTCTGGCCTAATCACAGCCATGCTGATATAGAGCCGGTCTCGCTCGAGTATGAGAATTATATTGCTCATATATATGCATATATGTATATAAAAAATTTTTTTCATGTTTTGTTATGTTGCTGCCTTATGTTAAATTACTTTTTCCCCACATCATTCTATACTCCATACACCATAATGGCAAAGCAAAAAACAGGTTTTTAACATCTTCTAAAATGTATTAAAAATAAAAAACTTAAATGATTCCATTGCATAAGTATTCATACCTGGGACAGTTGAAATTTAGCTCAGGAGCATTCATATTGCTTGTAGATGTCACTACACTTTGAGTGAAGTTAACCTGTGGCAACTTCAATTGAATGGGTATAATTTGGAAAGGCACAAACGTCTTAATTAAAGGTCTAACGGCTGATAATGCATATCAGAGCAAAAACCAAGTCAAAAGAACTGCCTGTAGAGCTCAGAAACAGGTTTGCAGCAAAGACACTTCATTGAAGGGTCACAGAAGCATGTAGAGCTATTACACTTAATGGAAGAAGTTTGAAACAACCAGGACTCTTCCTAGAGCTGGCCTCCTGGCCAAACTGAGCAACTGATGGAGAAGGGCTTTGGTTAGAGTGGTGAGCAAGAAGCTGATGGTCACTCTAGTTGAGCTCCATGATCATATATGCAGATGGGAGAAATCTACAGAAGGACAAACATCACTGCAACACTCCACCGATCTGGGCTTTATGGCGGTGTGGCAAGACTCAATCCTCTCTTCAGTGTAGACACATGAAAACACACTTGGAATTTGAAAAAAG